TTTAGCTATCACAAACTGTGCCGCTATAAACATAGGTGCACATATATTGCTGTAGTATGATTCTTTTAATTCTTTGGGGAAGATACCCAGTAGGGGAATAGCTGGGTCAAATAGAACCTGTAGTCCTAGTTCTTTGAGGTTCAGTTTTTTTTTTGGTTTTTTTTTTACCTGACAATGGGTACACCTTCTTTTAGGCTTTTTTTCTTTCAAAGCCATCATAACCCAAACCGCTAAAGGTATTACAAATCCATAAATTAGCTAGTTGATAATAAGGTAAAGGGCAACAAGCTGTTCTTAAGACGAAAAAACACATTCAAATAATGTTTTTACGTGAAACATTTTAGATCACCCATCTTAAAGCAAACCCCAAAACCACATATATATCCTCAAGCCCCGACCATAGTATACCTCTTTCCCTTCAGAGCCCACACTCATTTCTAAGTATGCACTGATAGGTTTCCCTCCGATTTAAGGTGGCTTATGTATATAATAGCTACCTTCTTCCCAACATGCCCCTATTCCCCCCAAAAGAGTAACCTAATACTTGCTCTTCTCCTAGTAACTACTGACGTCACAGGCTCCTCCAGTCCCTAGCCACTGCCTCATTCATCACCCCCCATCCCAGCTCCCTGCCCCGCCATACCGCTTTTGTCTCTCCTTTGTTCAGAGACAGCCCCGCAGATTGTCCCTGCAATAAAAGCTTGTTGTGGCCTGGTCTGGTCTTGCTTTTAGGCTTTTTTACCTGACATGTACTCTTCAATTCTGCTTAATAAAACCTTTCTATACTTCTTATTGATGTCCTGAAAGTCTTTTCTGTGAGGAATTAAGAACCTACTGAGCAGAAAGGGGTGCTGGTATTAAACACCTGTAATCCCTGCACTCTGAGAGGCTGAGGTAGGAAGACTGAGTGCAAATTCCAGCACAACCTGGTCAACTTCTCGAGTTAATGAGACTCTAAAAAGAAAGGGCTGGAGATGTAGCTCTGTGCGAAAATCCTGGGTTCAAGGCTCAGTACACACATACAATATACTTGGCGGGCTTATTTGAGGTCCCTTCCTTCCTAGGGGCAACTCCTAGGATATCTTCAGGTGACATCCCACGGCCCTACTCAGCCCTTAGTATTTGCCCAGGCCTTTATCCAGTAGTGCCCCCAAAAGCCACATTCCGGAACCCAGAAAGCAGGCCCCGGCGGAAGTCTTGCACAGCACTCTGACTGCAAAGGGCTCTGGGAAATGTATTCCAGCGTCGGAAGACTAAGTAACTGGACCCGGGTCGTGCAGCCGTTTTTTGCCAGATCCCTGATGCCAAGCAAAATGCTCCGCGCGGAAAAAAACTACCGGGAAGTTTCAGGGGCCACCAAACACTGAAAGAAGTTACCTTTGAAATTACTAATCATACCAAGGAATTCTTTTATCCATATTGCGTACTTCTGTTTAGAAAAGCACTCTTGTACAGTGAAGATCTCGCGGGAAGTTGGTTAGAGTGCAGTGCATTCTGGGAAATGTAGTGCCCTGCGAGCACCGAAAAATGGCAGAACTGACTGGAAGGATGTTGTTCGGGATCTTATGACCGCCCCAGCGGACGTAATGAGTACCTGCCCAGACAGCGCTCTGTTGTCGTCGGAGGACGCTCACGCGTCCGGGTGTAATGTGTGCTTTTGTGTAGGGGTGAGTCTGGCTACTTGTTCTAAGCAGTTGGAGTCAGGAGGTAGGGCCTGTGCTTTTTGGATGCTAGACTGCCTGCTGGCCGAGTGTAGGGGACGCATTCGGAACCCGGGATGGGGCTGGAAATGCACGCAGATACCATCTGAAGGCCTTGCCGCTGGGCGGGTGTAGCAGAAGAATAGCTGCAGGGAGGACGCGCCTATGTGAAAGTAAGAGCGCGTGCGCGACCATCAGAATGTGGGTGACAGATCCACAATTTCAGATCTCCCCCCCCCCCCCCCCCCGCACTGTGAAGTGGGGAAAGTAGTGGTAGTTATTATTTGATGTCAATTTACTCGAACATTTGGAAAAGAAAAAGCTAAATAGTAGGTGTGATAGCAGTATAAAACAGGGTTTCTGTTTACTGGATAAGTTTATTGCATGAAATATCCATTGTGACTTTTTTTGTTTTTGTTTTTTGGTTTTTTTGGTACCGGGGATCGAACTCGGGTCCTTGCGATTGCGCAGCAGGCAGCGAAACCACTGAGCTAAATCCCCGACCCAATAATTTTTAAATATAAACTGACAGCAATTTTTAAAATTCAGTGGGCTGTATATGCACTGGCCTATTTCTCCACTTTTTTTTTTTTTTTTTTTTTAAGACAAGGTCCCACTTATATTTCTTTTTAAATTTTTGTTTTTTGAGACAAGGTCTCGCTATGTAGGTAGGTACTGGAAATCTAACTTAGGACCTTGCGCTTTCGAGGCAGGTGCAGCACTACTGAGCTAAAGTCCCTGGCCCCCTCACTTTCATTTCAGGCTGGCTTTGAACTCACTTTGTATTCCAGGCTGGCCTCCTGGTGATTCTCCTGCCGCAGCCTCTCCAGTGTTGGGATTATAGGTGTATGCACCATGTTTGGTTTGGACTCTGTTTTGTTCTGTTGATCTGCTTATGTATCTGAAAACCAATAACCCACTGTCTTGATTGCTGCAGTTTAAATTTAGAAGTCAGGAAATATAGATTCTCCAACTTTGTTCGTCTTCAAAATTGTTTCAAGTGTTCTAAGTCTTTTGCTTTTTTTTTGGTACCAGGGATCGAACTCAGGATCTTGCACTTGCAAGGCAGGTATGGTGCCACTGAGCTAAATCCCCACCCTGTCTTTTGCATTCCTTCATGGTTTTCTTCTTCTTTCTTCCCTCTATTCCTCCCTCCCTCCCTCTCTTTCTTTTTCTCTTTCTCCTTTCTTCCTTTCCCACCTCTCTCTCTAGATTGAACCGAGGATCTTCTTATGGAGATACAACCACAGCCCCCCTTCCTTCTTATTTTTTATTTTGAGGCAAGTTTTTGTCAAGTTGCTAAATTGCCCAGGATCGTTTTCAGCTTGTGATCCTCTTTGTTAGACACCTACAGTGCTGAGATTACAGGTGTGCACCAGTAACCCGAGCCCAGAATCGACTCTTGTCTTTGTGTCTTGACATTGTGTCTTCCAAGTCATGAATGTGAAGTATATTTCTCTAAGTATTCATTTTCTTCCAGAAGTGTTTTGAAATTTTTACTGTGGCAATCTTGTACATTTTTAGACAGATCTGGCATCCTGTGCTATTGTAAATGATTTTTATGTTTTTAGTTCTAATTTCCATTTGCTGCTAGTTTTAAGGAGTACAATTGATTTAGCAAAAAATATAATTGACTTTTTAAACTCAATTAGGTCTGGTACCTTTTGCATATTTAGGATTTTCTCCATAAAAGATTTTGTTATCTAGATAGAGACAATGTTGTTCTTTTTCATTCTCATTGCTTTGTTTGTTTCATTTACACTTGTCTTACTGCATGAGTTAGTACCTATAGTAAATGCTGAATTGGAGTGACACGACTCGAACCACTCATCCTTAAGAACAATGTTAGCTATAGGTTTTTTGCAATGTCCGTTATCAGACTGTGGAAATCTCATTTGAATGTTACCAGGTTCTTCTTGTCTTGAAGAAAGAATTGAACAAGACAAGCAAAAAACAGTGCCAAATTTCATTTGAAAAAGTGAGAGTGGAGGGTAAGGGTAAGGGAGCAACTGGCTCTGCAGAGGAAACTTGGGCCAAACAAAACAGGAAAAATTAAAAGCAAAAATGAAAGTACACCCTGGGGGACAAAGGGCGGGTTATCATGAAGAGGCACAATAATGAGCTCATAGCAGTTTCCTATTTCTTTATCTCATCCATGGCTTGAGGGAACCTGCAAGAATTTAAATGTATCAGGTCCTGAGATTTATTTCTTTTTGTTTTTTGGTCCCGGGAATCGAACTCGGATCCTTGCACTTGTGAGGCAGGTTGCAGAACCACTGAGCTAAATCCCTGGCCCCTCCTGAGATTTATTTTGTGAGGTGTATCCTGGAATCTGGTCAGGGTTACTTCCCAAACCGGGTTTGCCATGCCCTACCTTCCTGCCTAATTTTTGTTTTTTTCCCCATACTGGGAATTTCCTGCCTCATTCTTATTTTGGAAGAATTTGTATCTCAGTGAAGCCACCTGGGCCTGAAGTTTTCTTTATGAGATTTTTCACTACAAATTAAATTTAATAGATACAGGGCTATTCATTGTCAGGTAAAAAGGCCGAAAACCAAGACCAGACCAGGCCACAACAAGCCTTTGTTAGGCGAACAGATCTGCCAGGGTTTCTCTGAACAAAGGAGAGACAAGGCAATATGGCTGAGGCAGGGAGTGTCTTTTATAGAGACTGGTGTGGGGTTTGTAGGAGCTGAGGCAGGGTTGAGTGAAGTAGTGACTAGGAAATGGAGGAGCCTCGGACATCACTAGTTGGTAGGTGGTGATCGAGTATTATGTTACTCTCTAGGCAGGAACGGGCATGCTGGGAAGAAAAGTTTGTTCTTTGGTGGGAGCATCCATCTTGGTGTGATGTTACACAGGGGAGGAGGCAAGGCACAATAGGAAGAGGGCAGCTACTATACATAATAGCTGCTGAGGTAATGGGAGACCTATCATTCCAGGCTTTTGTTTTATGATAGTTGGGCGAAGGTCTCTTTTTCTGGAGTTGCTTCCTGCTGACAAGGGGCGAAGATTGGGGCTAGACCTGGATCTGATGAGGCCCATGGCAAGTGGGGACCTCTTCCTTTTGTCGTACTGGCTGGTACCCTGCCATGATGAGCTCCGTGACTGTCTGGTTGGTGAATGAGGGTTGGTTGGAATGAGTGTTGGTGTCCTCATTCGTTCCTGTAAGAAATTTTGAAAACAGTGAACTAGGCATGGTCCAAAACAGAGAATCAAACAGATAATACTGAGAGGCCATGCAAATGGCAATAGCCAGGGAAGCCAGGAGCCCCAAGAATCAAACGTGTCCCACCATGGATTAGTACCTTGGGGACTAAATTTGTCCCACTAGGTCCTTAATCTTTCTCTCATTTGGCGTGTAATCTCTTTTACCACCCCAGATTTGTTGGCATAGTAACAGCATTCTTCCTTTAGGAAGCACAGGTCCCTACCTGTTCTGTGTTGAGAATATCAATGGCCCATCTATTCTGGAGAGTCACTTCCGCCAGGGAGTCTATCTGTTATAAAGTATTGATGGCCTCTTGTGTAGCATCAAGCTCCGAACGGATTTGATGTCTCAGATCTGTAAATTGTTTTTGTCCTAACCCAAGTGCGGTGGCACTTGCCGCTACACTTCCGCCAATGGCTATTCCTGCCAGTATGGGTAGAATTATCGGATCTCTTTTATACATGTGAGTGCAGGAGGGGGCAGTCTTTTTTCCCCAAAATATACTTCAATATCTGGAATTAGGAGAGCTACAGCACATAGTCCCATGGAACTTTTTGTAAATGTGAGATAAATCCCATCATGGCATATTATAAAAGTTCCCAGTGGAGGCACTAATGAGCTTCTGGTGACATTTTGAATCTCTGCACAGGAGGCGATTACCTCTATGGTGTGGCCTGTTCCCCTCAGGCATGAGGCATTACCCCAAACTTTGACTGAGATTACAGTAATTTTCCAGGAGAATCAGCCTGATTTAACTGTTGATTTGGCACTACTATTCCAAGAGCCCTGTAATAAAACCTTGTAAGCGGCATACACAACCAACAGTCGCGTCCCAGTTGTGGGTCAACCTTCTGAAGGATGTTGTGAATGGAATTTAAAATTTGTATTAGATCTGAATTGAGAGAGCTATCTTGTCTGGGCGGAGTCCTTGAGTTACTATGTGTTGGCTCTGATGTTTGAGGAGCTAAGGGAATTATCTGAGGTTTAGGTTGAGGTACTCTTATCTGTGGAGGGGGTTGCCAGACCTTTTTGTGGTAAAGAGTTGTCCTGAAGCTCTCTGCCAGACACTGCTTGGTTCGATCCGAATGCCCCTATGGTGCCCTGCAGTCCAATCGGGGTCTTGGGGGGTCCCTAATTGTATAAGCCAGTGGATTACAGGATCCTTGTGAACAACTTGGTGATGCAAGAAGAGCAACCAGGGAGGACTTAGTGTCTCCCTGATATTCCCTGATACATCTCCAGTTATCTCTGCAAAAATATCCTGCAGTACTATTACATCCCTCCTCCCTGATAGGGGTACATGTACAATTTGATCCTGGGAGTGGATAGCAGCCAGGAAATGTCCAACAATAATCCCTAATTGTTTCCATTCTGCACAAAAATATATATATATTTTTTGGTACCAGGGATCAAACTTGGGTCCTAGAGCTTGTGCAACAGGCGGCGAAACTACTGAGCTAAATCCCTGGCCCCTTTTCTTGTTTTTGATAACCACATTCTGTATTTAGGTCTGTGCATCCAGTTGACCACCAATGTCCCTTTACCTTTTTAGGGCATGCATCAAAATAAATTGAGACATGAGATTTGAAAGGGTCCCAGTGAGTCTGGTTAATGATGATGGGGGATTACTTTCACACAGCTGTACCTGAAATGTCCAGTGTCCCAGTGGGTCTGGTTCAGCTGTAGGTTTGTTAATTAGAAGTATAATTGTAAGCCACCAATGTGAGAAGTGTCTATGGAGAAGCATCCTTGACAAATTATTGTAGACAACCAATAATACCAATGAGGGTAATGATGAAGTAATATGTTGTTACCAGAAGACACTTATCTATAGTTTTGTAATTTCTCGGGGCGGTGGCAGTGAGCCCAATTCCAAAAAGAAGGCCAAAAAGAATTAATGAGAGAAGGCTGAGGATATCTGTACGTGACCCTGTGTGAATGGAATCACAGTATCCCATGAGGCCCTTAATGAAGGGGATTGTCTTGAGGCAGATGAGGGGGTGTGTACAAACAGCAAATGAGGAGAAAAGAAAAGAGCTCTATTTCAAAACATGAAAAATCAGCTAGTGCTCCCTGCAACCAGAGGTCTGTTACCCACTGGAGGATTGTCTCAGGGATGTTGTCCTGTGGGCAGCACCAAACGACATTTTCCAGAGCACACTCGAGGAAGGCCCAAAACTGTTGATGTAAGAGGATGTACATCTGTATTACCAAGGAAGGTCAATTGGATTTTGAGCTGATAAGGTTAGAAACGTCGATGAGAGAGACAGAGAGAGATGTTAACCTTCCTTGGGAATTTGTGAGAGAGTACGGAATAATCTGAGTTTAGTAGGTCCTGTGAGAATGGAGGAGTATCTGGCAGTGTTAGGTTGCTGTTCAGGCTGTTTCATGTGGAAATCTGGAAGATCTTTTTTTATCCTGGAAAGATGGAACCAGGGGACCCTTTCCTGGAGTTTTACTGCGGTAGGAGTTATTAATGAAACAGTGAAAGGTCCCTCCCATCGTGGCTGGAGGGATCTTGGGGACAGGGTCTTGAGATATACCTAGTCACCTGGAGAAAGAGGAAGAGGATGTAGAATGCCTGATGAGTCTGGAAAGGGGAGAGTTTGATTAGCCAGGGTTTGAAGGAGACAACGAGTGTAATTAAGTGTTGGGATATAATCAGCAAGTGCTGGTGATGGGTCTGGTAAGTTAGAAAACAGGAGAGGTCATTCATACATCAACTCAAAGGGAGTTAAATTTAATGGTTTTCAGGGTGTTGAGCGAAGCCGCATGAGAGCTAAAGGGAGGAGGGTAATCCAATTTTGTTTGAGCTCTATTGAGAGTTTAGTTAGTTGAGTTTTAATTAACCCATTGGCTTGTTCTACCTTGCCTGATGATTGAGGTCGATAGGGGATGTGGAGTTTCCACTGTATGTTGAGTGTCTCTGTTACCCGTCGGGTGATCTGAGAGATGAAGGCAGGTCCATTGTCCCACTGAATGGAAAGCAGGAGGCCAAATGGAGGAATGATTTCTGTTAGGAGCACGTGAACTACAGCAGCTGCTCCTTCAGACCTGCAGGGAAAGGCCTTTATCCACTCTGTGAAAGTATCTCGCAAGGTCAGGAGATATTTAAACCTTTTTTACAGGTGGCATATGTGTGAAATCAATTTGCCAATCTTCCCCTGGTAGTTGTCCCCTGTACTGGTGAGTTTTTGTGTGTGTTTGAAAGCCACCTTGGGGACTGGTGGTTGAGCAAATGAGACAGGCCTGTGTTATTGTCTGTGTGTGTGTCGTTAAGAATGGGTGGTATAGAAAAGGCCTGAGAAGGTGTAGGAGGGGTTGGGTTCCTATGTGGAGTGAGTTATGTATGTCAGTGAGGAGAGGTATTATTTGGTCATCAGGTACGACATGGCATCCACCATATAGAAGCCAATCATTCCTTAGTGTAGCACCCTTTTCTATGTATTTGGCCTTTTCCTGAGGAGAGTAGTTAGGTTTTAAGGGTGGAATGATTAACAACTGATTTTGGCTTTGGGGAACACATTGTGCCATGTTGTGGACAGTTTGATCTGCTCTATTGGTTCCTTGAGCTATAGGAGAGGAAGAGGATTGATGTCCTTTATAATGAATGACCCCCACTTGTGTTGGGAGGGTGGCCACTTGGAGAAGGGCATGTATCAGATGTCCGTTGATAATGGGTGTCCCTTTTGTGGTCATAAAGCCTCTTTCTCTCCATGTGGAATTATGAGAGTGTAGGATGTGGTGTGCGTATTTGGAATCAGTATAAATATTGCCTCGCCTGTTGTGAGCTAAGGTAAGAGCTTGGGTGAGAGCAATTAATTCTGCTTATTGAGAGGTAGTGTTGTGTGGGAGTGTGTTAGGCTCAATGGTCTGTGTGAAAGAAACTGTTGCATAACCGGTTTGTCCCCTTCTGGCCAGGCACATGGGTGGGAATTGAGCGCCATCAATAAACCATGTGAATTCTGGATCTGGGATAGCCACTGAGGAGACATTAGGGAGGGAGGGAAGAAGGTTTTCAATTGTTTCTGTGCATGAGTGGGAGAGTGTCTGAACAGCCTCAGGAAGAAGAGTGGCTGGGTTAAGGGAGGGGCAGGACTGAAGAGAGAAAGACAGGTTTTTCTATAAAAGTGGTATGGAAGAGCTGTAGCCTAGAGGGGGACAGGTGTGAGAGGCTATAATGAGTGAGTAAGTCCTGTAAGTGATGGGGTGACTTTACTGTCGTTGGTTGGCCAAAGGTAAGTGTGGAACTTTCTTGGGCTAAGAGAGAAGCGGCCACCAGAGCACGTAAACATGTAGGCCAGCCTCAGACAGTGTAATCAAGCTGTTTAGACAGGTAGGTGACTGGAACAAAATGTGATCCTATGTTTAAGGACTCCCAAAGCCAATCCTGTTCATTTGATGACATACCAAATGAATGGTTTTTGGAGATCTGAAAGAGCCAATGCTGGGGCAGAGAGGATAGCGGCCTGAAGTTTGAAAAATGGTCCCTTGATAGAAGTGTTATTTATAGGTTCATTTGGGTCTCCCTTGGAAGCATCATACAGGGGTTTAGCAAGTAGACTGAAATTTGCTATCCATAAGTGGAGAAAGCCTGCGAGCCCCAGGAAAGACAGGATCTTGGCTTTGGAGGAAGGGATCAGGAGGTCCTGAATAAGTTGCTTACAGTCCAAGGTGATCTCTCATTGTTGATCTGAGATCTTAACCCCAAGGTATTGTATTGTGAGTTGGGAGAGTTGGGCCTTGTCCCTGGAGACTCAGTATCCCCTTTCATTTAAGAAATTAAGTAATGAGGCCATGTGTTGTTGGGAGAGTGTGAAGGTGGGGCTGCACAAAAGTAAATCATCTACATATTGGAGTAGCTTAGAGGGAGACAGGTTTAATTTTAAGAGGTCAGTAGCCAAGGCCTGTCCAAAGAGGTGTGGACTATCCTGGAAACCCTGTGGAAGAACTGTCCAAGTAAGTTGTTGAGAGTGTCCCATATCAGGGTAGTCCATGTGAAAGCAAAAAGATTTTGTGAGTTGGGGTGTAGGGGGATGGTGAAAAAGGCATCTTTGAGGTCTAGAACTGAAATAACATGAAGAGGAGGGGATATGGGACAATAAAATGTAGGGGTTGGGAACAACAGGGTGTAAGGAAAGTACAGTGGAATTGATGGCCCTTAAGTCTTGTATTAATCAGGAGGAAACATTTGTTTTAAAAACTGGAAGGATAGGAGTGTTGTAGGGGAGTGAATTGGGCTGAGAAGCCCCTTGTCAAGTAGACTGGTAATTACAGACTTTAATCCTTTTAAATGTTTTAAAGCTAAAGGGTATTGGGGAACATTTGGAAATTGAGTGTTATCTTTGAGAGAGATCTGAATGGGAGGGTGATATTTAGCCACAGAAGGGGTGGAGGTGTCCCAGACCGAGGGGTTAATATAAAGCTCCCTAGGGGAGGGTGAAGTTACACTGGGGGTTGAGTCAGTCATGGGGGCAGCCAGGAGCAGCAGAATACCAGTAGGATCTGAATTGGCTAAATGAAGGATGAGTGAAGCCCTGAATTTAGTTAAAATATCTCTCCCTAAGATGGGGGTAGGGGAATAACCAAGAAACTATGTGAAAATGTACTGCTTAGCAGAGAACAAGCTAGGAGTGATGTACTGAGTGGGCTTGAGGATATTCTCTGAACTCCCACGATAGTTACTGTGGAGGGACAGGTAGGGCCTGAATACTGTGATAAGGCCGAGTAGTTAACCCCCATGTCAAGTGAAAACAAAATAGGCCTACCTGAGATGCTGACAGTTACCCTGGGCTCATTGAGAGTGATGACCGTGGGGCCTGCAGATGACCCTGGGCACTGTCAGTCTATTGCCAGGCTGATGAGCTCTGACAGAGATGTCTCTGCACCTGCTGACTGGGTTTGAGGAGGGCATGGCCTCTTACCTCTTTGGCGAATGGGACAGTCAACCCTCCAGTGACCCGTCTGCTTGCAGTTAGAAAAAGGGCCAGGTGGTGGCTTGGGATTGGGCATTCTTTAGCCCAGCGTCCAGTCTGATTACATTTAAAGCAGGCCCCAGGAGGCCCATCACAAGTAAATGTCCTTTTGTAGGATGGTGGTTTACCCTGTAGGGTTGCTCCCAGCATCTGGTAATTGGCCACCTTTTGTTGTTTTGCTTGTTCCTCATGGTAATTGAACACCTTAAAAGCAATATTAAGGAGCTTGGTTTGTGTGGCCTGGGGACCCTCATCGACCCCTTTTAGTTTTTTCCTGATGTCAGGGGCAGACTGTGAAATAAAATGGGTGTTAATAACAGTCATGCCTGCCTGAGATATGGGATCAATTTTGGTATATTTTTGAAGAGCATCAGCCAACCTAGAAAGAAACTGTGCTGGATTTTCTTGGGGTCGCTGAGTTATTTCCCCAATTTTATTGAAATTAACTGTCTTTTGTGAAATTTTCTTAAAGCCTCCTCTGAGACAAACAGTCATATAGTTTCAGAGATCTCTGCCTGGGTCCTCATCCTGGTTAAGTCCAATCAGGTTGAGTATCTGGTACTGCCTGGGTGCCCACTAGTTTAGTTGGATCTGTGGCATGAAAATCATCTGCTGCTGCCTGGGCTTCCCTCCAGACCCTCTGGCATTCCTCTGGGGAGAGAGTACTTGAAAGAATTGTATGACTATCTTGCCAGGTCATATCATAAAACTGAGTAAGATAGTGAAACTCTTTGATACAAACATCGGGATCAGAGAAAAAGGAGCCTAGGTGTTTTTCAATTTGAGAAAGGTCAGAGAAAGAGAAGGAAACATGTACACTAACAATACCCTCAGTCCCAGCAACTTCTCGGAGGGGGCATCTGTGTGGCCAGGGCCAATAGAAGGGTGGGATAGTGAGAATGGGTGTGGGGTGGGGAGATGTGAGATGGCGGGGATGAGGGAGGAGGAGGTAAAGGAGGGTCACAAGATGGTGGAGGAGAAGAGCCATGTAGTGAGGTGGAAAGAAACAAAGGAGAAGTACAAGATGGCCGACACAAAGAAGGACCACAAGATGGCGGGGGTGAGGAAGCACGAGACGAGGCAGAAGGGTTTAGGGGGTTATAAGGTAGGGGAGGTGTGAGTGGTGAGTGATCAGCTGGATCGAACGTGTCAGAATCAGAAAGAGTGGAATTGGGAAGGGTGGATGGCAAAGCTCGGGCTAGGAGTACCTGAGAAGAACAGGTTTGACAGAGGGAGGGTCAAGAGAGTAGGTAGAAAAAGGCTTGTACATAGGGGATTTCTGACCATTTGCCATTGCACTGACAAAAGTTGTGTAAATCACGCAGTATGTTAAAATTGAAAGTGCCATTTTTGGGCCATTGAGACCCATTATCTAATTTATACTGAGGACAAACCTGACTACAATAGAAAAGAAGTCTTTTTGGCTTAAAGTCTGGTCCCAACAATCCGAGGGGTTTGAGTTGTGCCAGAAGGCAGCCCAGAGGCATTGCGGGGGAGGTGGTTGGATTGTTGGACTCCCATGTTAGAACGGGTGAGGAGGAGGCAGCTCCCTGGGAGAAGGACAAAAGAGAGGAGTGTCTTCCTCTCCTTTGACAATCTCCAAGTGAGTCTCCCAATCTCCAAGTGAGTCTCCCGGAGGGAGAGAATGAGAGGAGCCAGGCTGATGGGGAGTCCCCTAGGGGCACGGTCCTGGGCCGAGCAGCCGAGGGGGGTCTCTCTGACCAAGTGCTTGGATTTCTGAGAAGTCCCCAGAGGGAGAGAGTGAGAACGAGACAGAGAACCTGAAGAGAGGGAAGCTGAACTCCCTACTCACCCAGAGACTGGTGACCGGTGTGGATGAGTAGCATCAGCAATGGCAAAGGCAGAAAGCCCCAAGAGGGTCCTGGCTTGGCAGATATGGTCCGGTGGAGATGGCCAAAAGGCCAATCAACCCCGTCCCATGGGGTATCGTCTCTCAATGGACTGTCTACCATCCGAGTCACGGCATCAGATATGTCAGGTAAAAAGGCCAAAAACCAAGACCAGACCAGGCCACAACAAGCCTTTATTGTAGGAACAATCTGCTGGGGTGTCTCTGAACAAAGGAGAGACAAAGGCAATATGACTGGGGCAGGGAGTGTCCTTTATAGAGACTGGGGTGGGGTTTGTAGGAGCTGAGGCGGGCTTGAGTGAGGTAGTGACTAGGGAATGGAGGAGCTGGTGACATCACTAGTTGGTAGGAGGTGAGCGAGTATTGGGTTACTCTGTAGGCGGGAACAGGGGCATGCTGGGAAGAAAGGTTTGTTCTTTGGTGGGAGCAACCATCTTGATGTGACATCACACAGGGGAGGGGGCGAGGCACAATAGGAAGAGGGCAGCTACTATGCATAATAGCCGTGGAGGTAGTGGGAGTCCTATCATTCATATGATCATTTTCTTTTTAAGAAAGCTTTAGTAATTTGTGTCTTTGTAGGAATTTATCCATTTTACCAATTTTTAAAATTTAGGGTTGGATATATAGCTGAGTGGTAGGATATTTACCTAGTTTTGTTTGTTTTGTTTTTCAGTTTTTTTGAGACAGGGTCTCACTGTAGTTCAGCCTGGCCTGGAAATAGCAGTGATCCTCCTAGTTCAGCCTCCTGAATGGGAGGATTACTGTCTTATGCTACTATACCCAGGTCTATATTATTGATTTCTAATTTAATTCCTTTGTGGTCAGAGAGTATACTTTGTGTGACTTGGAATAATTTTAAATTTAATGAAATTTATTTATGATCCAGAATATAGTCTCTCTGGGAAACTGTTCTATGTGCAGTTAAAAGGAATGTATATTCTGTTCTTTGTTCTTGGATTGAGTGTTCTATTAACATCAGCTAGGCCAGGTTGACTGATAGTGGTGCTGATGAAAGGGAAATACATTTCTCTGTAGCTAAGGCTGGACTTACTAACGGGAAGATGACTTCCTTCCAATGCTTTTTTTTTGCACCAGGGATCGAACTCGGGACCTTGTGCTTGTGAGGCAGTGGCACCACTGAGCTAAATCCCTGGCACTCTTCCTTCCAATTCTTTTAACATGCCTAGGCCTGCCTGGGCCCAGCTCTCTCAACATCTTAGGAATTTTCTTTGTTCTGCCTTCCCGCCATATACAAATAAGATAAAACTCAATACACTGTTAACCAGTGAACCCACTATATGCAAAAATCTGTAACCAGTAAGGTTGCTGGGCCCATATGTAAATGAAGGATTGAAACTTGTAGCTTTCTAACCAATGAAATGATGTTCCTGTAACCACCACCCCCCTCCAAGTGCATAACAACCCAACTCTGGCTGAGTTGCAGGGTCAGTCTCTTTGTGGAGAAGTCCCAGACTGACCCACTGGCCCTTAAGAATAAAACTGCACACTTTTTGTCTCTGAGACACCTGGGTGCAGCTTCCATTCTCCTGGACTACCTGCATTGAGCTGTAAACTCTGATGCTGTAACACTAGAGCTGTATGCTTTGGAGCTGTAACACTAGAGCTGTATATACTGGCTGGCACTTTGCCACTACATTGAGTGTTCAGTATTTTTATTTTCTGTCTGTTCATTGTATTAATTTTTGTGGTAAGGGTGTTGAAATCTCTGTGGATTTGTCTTTGCAATGTTAACAGTTTTTGTTTCATAAATTTTAAAACAATCTTTTTTACAGTGGTAGCAACTTAGGTTTTTTCCTGTACTTTTATTTTTATCCTACTGTGTCTTTCTGTAGGCAGTACTAGCTTTTTAAAAATCCAATATGAAGCCAGGCATTGTAGGGCTTATCTGTAATCCTAGCCTGCTTGGGAGGCTGAGGCAGGAGGATCACCAATTTTGAGCCTAGCCTGGGCAATTTAGTAACTCAGTAAGACCCTGTCCCCCTCAATCCCCCCCCCCGCCCCCACAAATGGCTGGGTATGTATCTCACTCAGTGTGAAGGTCCTGGGTTCAATCTGCAGTTACATACTGCCGCCCCCCTCCCCCCCCCCGGCCCACAAAAGTTTGGAGTGATACAAGCATAAGCAAGCAAGGGACTTGAGAGCCATAGAAGTTGGAAGGGGCATGAAGAGGAGTCTCCTCTTGAAATTCAAGAGAGAGTACAATCCTGTTGACACCTTGGTTTGGGCCAGTGAAAAGAGTTTGGATTTTTGGAGGTGTGTGCTTCCATGCCCAGTTTGTATCACTACAGTTTTAAGGCTAGGATCTTCACATATCTATCTCTCTGTTCAGTCTTCATATGAGCTTCTCCTCTGTTTGTCTCCTATTGATATAGGGCATATGATATAAGAACCTCCAAATAATATAAGGGAAATATAACTCTGAACCTACTAGGTGTCTGAAACGCTGAGATCATGTTCTCTAAAATCGAAGAATGGATTCTAGGAACAATGGACATTAAGGGTAGGAAGAATTTATTGAGAGAAAGATGGCTTTTGTCTAAGAGAGATAGAAGGGGGCCCAGAAAGTGAGTTGTCTGCTGACCTTGCTTCTGAAGGGTCAATTAATTAATTAATTAAGCAAAGCCACCAGTGAGGCGGGGTTCAAGGTGGGACAAAACTATAGTCAACTAATAAGATTCAAGTATAGTAGCTTAGGTAATATTGATCAAATGGGAAATCACAAGGTGGATATGAGGTGGGACAAAATTATGGTCAACCAATAAGATTATAACACATATTGTTGCTTAGGTAATATTGATTAAATGGGGATCAAATGGGGAAGCAAGTCCCATATTTTCTGGGAAAGAATGGGCCAGGGAAGTTGTGATCCTCGCCCAAGGTGATTGATACCTGTTTACAATATCAGTCACTGCTGCTTATACTTAGAGGAAGTATGTGAGTGTAGTCATTCCTCTTTTTCTTTTCTTTTTTTTTTTTTGGTACCAGGGATTGAACTCAGGACGTTATGCTTGCAAGGCAGGCAGCGGAAGCACTGAGCTAAATCCTGGCCCAGTTCCTCTTTTTCTTGAAGCCTGGCCTTCAGTGAATGTGCTTCTGGCCACTATAGTCTTCTGTGCTGAGGGCCCAGCCCTGTCTAACTGCCTGTAATATTTATAACTAACATAGCTGTCTACAATGCTATACTCCTCTCTCTCCCTGTAAAATGTTATTATATCCAGATTCTTATTAATATCTGTAGTTTCTATTGCCATATAAGGCAATATTTACAAGCTCCAGGAATTATGATGTAAAGTCTTTGGTGACCTTATTTGGTCTAGTACAGTTGGGGGATATATAGATCATAGGTCAGTGAAATTATATACTGTAGTTAGGTTTAAAGCTACCTGTGTTGATCTGCCATCTACTTCTTTTTTTATTTCCCCCTTCTGTTCCTCTTTTTTCCTTTTTGATAAGATGCTTTTTAATGTTTACATATGATATGCTATATTGATTTTATCACCTCTCTCTGGGATTTGTATTTGTCACAACAGCCAGGTGTGGTGGCGGATGCCCATAATCCTAGCACTTGGGAGGCTGAGGCAGGAGGATCACTGCCAGTTCAATGCCAGCCTGGGCTACTCAGTGAGTTCAAGGAGTCTGAACTGCATAGTGAGACCCTGTCTGAAAAAATCAACAACAAAAAGATTGAATGATGGAGAATAGACACAAAGCTCACAGAAGAATTTGATTTATGTAGATTCTCTACTCTTGAGGTCCTGGAACATAACTCCTTATCCAAGTGTGAGATGTACATAGCAACTTCCTTCTAATGAGTACAGGGAAAGAGGTAAATTCACAGCGTGGCAAGCTGACAAATACTACTTCAGCTAGCTAATCAAGACTAGCATCAGGAGCCATCATGTGAATAACACATTTTGATATGTGATAAGAATGGCACTTTACCTCTGAGATTTTTGGCCCTGTAATCTCTGTGTAATCTGAATAAACCATCAGGTAAAGCTGAGGTGAAAGACAGTCTATAAATTACTTGACCATAGCTGGGCATGGCATACACCTGTAATTCCAGCACTCTGGAGGTTGAGGAAAGAGGATCACTATGAGTTCAAGGTCAGCCTGGAATACATAGTAAGTCCAAGATCAACCTAAACTACACAGTGAAACCTTGTCTCAAAAACAAAATACAGGGCCGGGGATTTAGCTCAGTGGTTCCGTCGTCTGCCTCACAAGCGCAAGGACCCAAGTTCAATCCCTGGTACCAAAAAACAAAAAACAAAGTTGTGAATATCATAAAAAAGGGCAATCTGAGAATCCGTGAAAATATAGGGGAACCTTAGGAGAGAGGTAGATGTAATGTTATCCTGGGTGATATCCTGGGTGTAATGTTATCCTGAACAGAAAAGGGGCATTAGGTTAAAAACTAAGGAAATCTAAACCAGAAGTGGAGATGCATGTCTGTAATCCTAGCTCTTGGGAATCTGAGAGGCAGGATGATCGGGACTTGGAGTCTTCCCTGAGGAATTTAGCAACTTAGTGTCTCAGAATGGGGGAAAAAAAAAGTGTAGAGATGTAGCTCAGTGTGAAGGCCCTGGTTTAAATTCCTAGTACTGGAAAGAAAAGTCACATTGTACCTCATTATTATACACAATTATTGTTTGTCAGTTGAGGGCCTGGGGATGTAGCTCAGTGGTTAAGCACTTGCCTACCATGTGCAAAAGGCCCTGAGTTAGATCCTCAACACTACGTAGAAAAAACATCTTTTCTTCATTGAGGAAAAATGATATACTCCAGTATTAAACACCAGTTTATATCCATGAGGGTATCTGTGTCTGGCACAAAGTAAGCACTCAAATATTTGTTTCCTCTTATGTTATCAGGTTATGTGGATATTTTGTGTATTTGTTTTAATACTGAGCCCGTGTATATACACTTTTTTATTTTCTATGATGCTGGAGATCAAGCCCAAGGCCTCATTCATGCTAGAGAAGCACTCTACCATTGAGGTACACCACCATCCCTGTATACACATGTTTATGAAAGAAGTTAGCCTGGTATATGCGTTGTTTATTTTGTGTGTGTTCATCCATTAGTAGTGGGAATGGTCACCTCAAGCTCTCTGGAGAATAAGGGAAGTATTAAACAACATATCAATAAATAAAAGTAGTCGCCTTATGTTAAAAAAGATAAACAGATTTCCTATGTAATATATACCACTAAACTTGAAAATTTACATGAAACGGGTAAATTTTTAGCAACGTAGAATGAAATAGATCTGCTGTATGGTATAATAGACCATTTGAAGAGTCCTATTTCCACTAAAGAAATTTAATCCATTATACAAATGTTTCCAATAAGACAATTGAAGTTCAGATGGCTTCTTTGTTAAGAAACAAAATCTGTCAAGAACTAAAAGTCAGAACATACTCTATTTTATGAGGTAAGACAAATATAGATAATGAACTTCGCAAGGACATTCAGGAGAAAGGAAATACTTAGGTCATTCTCACTGATAAACACATGCAAAAGTGTTTATTAGAGTTTGGAGCTGAAAGCCCTGGCTCTTGTGGCCCCAACAGACTAAAATGCCAAAGTGATGAACAGTGGTTATGGGGAGGAAAGGAACTTAATCAGCCTGGACACAGTGGGAAGAACAGATACAAAGTTCAAGGTCTGTTTTCCAGAGCCTCACAGGAATTTTAGGGTTTATAGAAAGGTACTGGGTTTGCAGAGTTGGAGGGTTTGCAGAGCTGGCAGTGTAGGTACTCCTGGTCAGGCAGTGGCTTGGTTGATTTTTATTTCAGGACTAGTTCTGGAGAAGTCCTTAAGGCCTTAGGGGACAATCTAATTCCCCCGAAGTGATTATTCCTGCTTGAGAGTAGAGTAGGAGTGACCTCTTCATGGGGTGGCTGCAAGGTTCTGGTTTTCCTGGAATCTTAGTTGATTGTAGGTTTAGAACAATGACTGGAGACTTGTAGGCACTGTTCCATGGATCTGGAATGGGACATTGTAAAAACTGGGACTTAAATATCCCTGCAAATCTTATCAGTCTTGAAGGGGATAGCAGATGGGTTAGGGATATAGGTTAGGTAAACTTAGAGCTAATAAGTCTTGTATTACCAGTATTTATACAGACATTCCTTAAGTGATTAATATGTGTATGTGCTGACCTGAGCACAGGTCTTACCCAAAGTTTTAAGGTAATGAAAGAGGCAAATACAAGAATGAAGACAGAAATACTATGTTTTATCCTGTATTAGTTACCTATTGGGCATCCATAGACCCAGCCTCTAAGTCCCTGTTATAAATTGATTCACTAAAAATGGTTCCTACTATGAAACATTGTATTAGCTGATGTAATATATATTTTTTTTATCAAGATAAATTCATTTGCTAATTATTTCATATTATGATGGAAAGACAAATGTAGAAACTCTTGGCACAAAAGCCTGTCCAAAAGCCTGCACTGAGAGAATTGATCAAACTCTAGTATAGCTTCTAGTAGCTTAATTCTGTGTCTGTTTGATGACCCCAGATCCCCTTAAAATGCTTGCCTGAGGAAAGTTAAAATTTCAGACAATTTACTGTTTGCTCCAGCCAAACCTGAAGATCAGCTTATTGGCCTTTGAGCCCCCTCTTATATTTAGAAAGTTTGTAATTATAAGTCATTTCTCTGCTCTTTTGAGATATAAATCTGCTACCTTGAATTGTCTCTTCAAAGACCCAGAAATGAAGGCATTCAAGGAGCTACCTCTTGTTCTAGCCTCCCAGTTCCTGTGGGAGGATCATAGCCTAACTTTGAGGGGTATCTTGCTCCAACTTGTATAACTACTTCAGTCATAAAGAGAAAACTTTATTTCTCTTCTGGATAAGTGCCAGTTAGTAAAAATCCAGATGGCATAGTCACATGGACCAGACTCTTCCTTCATACTCTCTAGTGTCTTTCCTTTATCATACTCAGCATTTCAGGTTTCCTGCATTTTGTTTCCCAAAGTTGAGCTCCATTTACAGTGGCTTCACTTCCCTACCGCAATGGTTACTGCTGAATAAAATCTGTCTTTACTGCCTTAAAATGGTGTACTGATTTGTTTCACTTTAATAGGACTTAAGCATTTTATGTTCTTGAACACCACTTATGTCAGACAATGCTCTGATTAAATGTAAACTGACAATATAATTTCATGGAAGTTTAAAAAAATTTTTTTTTGAAACAGAGCCTCACTATGTAATTCAAGGCTGGCCTTGAACTCACTATGTAATCCAAACTGGCCTCAAACTCGTGGTGATCCTCCTGCCTCAGCCTCTCAAGTACTGGGATTATAGGCATGTACCACCATGCCTGGCTAATAAAACCTTTTTGTAATACCTTTGTAAAACGTTATATTATAAATCTAAGTTAAGGGAGTGAATAGAATTGAAAACACTGAGTGGAGAGTGAGTGTATTGATAAATGTGGGGTTAATAAATGTGGGCTTTTCACCACCTGCCTTGCAAGCACAAGGACCTGAGTTCGATCCCTGGTACCAAAAAAAAAAAATTAATAAATAAATGTGGGCTTACTGGAGTAGTGGCTAAAAAACCTACAAAACTAGTACAGGAAAAGAAATTGAAATCATAGAAACCAATCCAACACAAAGACAGGAGAGAAAAAGGAAACATATAACACAAAGAAAAAAATAAAATGGCACATTTAAATCTAAATATATCAGTAGCTACATTACATGTAAATAGACTAAATGCCCCGGTTAAGAGCGATCTTGTGAGTGTATTTAATAGCTGTGGATATGTGCGCTCTTCCTTAGGTAGGATAGAAGAAATATAGTTAGAAAGGAGACAAGGAAAATCGTAATTTTAAAATTGTTCTTTTAATAAGAATACAATTCAGGACACAAAGTTACCCAAAGTTATCCATATCTATATAGTACTCCATATCTTTACTCTCCAGGTTTTTGTTTTTCTTTTGTTTTTAAACGTCCAAGCCCATGATGTCACTTGGAAGCTGGGTCCTGACACAGCTCCTCACTTCTGTGTTGTGTCTTGGATGAAAGAATTCATAGAAGACATATAGGTGGCCATGTTGAAGTTTGGCAGAATTTACTGTAAAGAAGATAGAGAATTACAGCTTCAAATGAGAAATGTCAGGTAGGCATCTACTCTGAGAATTGGATTTTTTTTTTGTACTGGAGATTGACCCAAAGGCCTTTGCACTGAAATATATCCCCAGCCACATGCCTTTCTCTCTCTCTCTCTCTCTTTTTTAAATGTTTTTTTTTGCAACAGAGTTTCTCTATGTAGTCCAGGCTGACCTTGAACCCATTATATAGCCCAGTAACCTCCTGCCTCAGCCTTGTGGATTCTGGGATTATAAGTGTGCATCACTGTACCCAATTTATTTTTGAGACAGTCTCAATTGCACAAGCTGGGTTCAAACTTGAAATCTTCCTGTTTCACCTTCCCAGAGTGAGGGGATTGTCGGTGTGTACCACCACACCCTGCTTGGATGTCATTTTATGTACAGGAGAATCATTCCTGGGGTTCAGGGAATTATGATTATTATCATTGTTTTAACTACATGATGTATATATTTATCAACAATTTTTCTTAGAGGTTACTTTGGAATGTTGATTATCTTGAAAATGTCTTCTTTGTTCTTTTCAGATTGTCAGTGGTCCCCCAGGGGCTTGATCATGTAAGAAACTTAGAGCTTTATGAAAGAAAAAGTTCTAATCAAAATGTCTCAGGGCAAGGTGGGAGTGTCTTTAAAGAAGGGTCCCCTTTCTGATGTCATTGGGCAGTAGTCGATAGCAACCAGAAATGCTGTATTACTTGTTTTGGAAATAGCCTGGTATCAGGATGAATGTGCATCATGCATAACCTTAAAATGTCATAGTGCTATGTGGGGTCGTTTTGGGTCTGAGACCTAACAACTGATTATAAATGTATTATACACTGTTATCTTTGTTTCATTTAACCATAACTGGCAAAGCATACTGCTGTACTGTAATTTGGACCTTCTGTGTCCCTCAAGCTCACTAATGTCTACCTACGTGCATAACAATCACTCCCTCAAACCTTTAAAGATACTACAAATCCATAGATTAACCTAGTTTGATAATAAGGTAAAGGGTTGGTTGGCATGAGTTCTTTTCAAGTGAGCGTACTCGTTTCTCCCGGAAAACATGGCTAAAAGTTTATGGTGTAAGTGGAAAAGAAAAATGTGTGCTGAAAAGAGAAAAAAAAATGCCCCAAAGGAGCTCAACAGACTTAAAAATAATCTCAAAGTAGACTGCGATGTTTTAATGAATGACGTTCGGGAGATAGCAACTGTGGTGGTACCTAAACAATGCCAAGAGGAAATGGACTGTGTGGCGAATGATGACCAAAAAGATGACATGAAAATGGAGACTGAGATAAAGAGAAACAAAAAGACTCTTCTAGACCAGAATGGACAGTACCCAGTATGGATGAACCAGAGGCAGAGAAAAAGGCTGAAGGCAAAACGAGACAGAAGACAGGGGAAAAGCAAAGCAAAAGCAGCAAAGGCAGCAAAGGGTTTGGCCTGGTAGACCCTGAAAAACAGAAATGTCACGTTAGTAGAAATGCCATATGGGAGAAATGTTTAATTAGAAAGTACACATTGATTTCAGATCCCACTAATTGAAAACTCTTTCTGTTCATATTTTAACTTGGCCTTTTTTCACTTTAAACTCAAAATAATTTGTTTTGGGAAATTGAATAAAGTATTTTCTTTGGATAAGAGCTGTATTTATGTTTTAGTTGGAAATTGACCAGTATTCAGGTCTTATCAGACATCAAAATCCTGTGAAATATTAACATGGTTGTAATTGTTTTTACAACTTGGTAATTATAGTCAGTAAAATAAATGATATACTGACAAAAATTTGAGTGAACTCATTTTAAAAACCTATGGTGTAGTCATATTTAAAAATACAACAGTAGATCTCATAAGCAGTACTTGTTTGGAGTTTTGATTTTGTGTAATTCAGAATAAAAGATACTTTGTGTGTAATGAGGTAAAGGGCAACAGCCTGATCCTGAGATGAACAGATTCAAAGAGTTTAAAGAGTGTTTTTGCCAAAACATTTTAAGATCACCCATCCTAAAGGACAACTGCAAGACCACTATATGTGTCCCCAACCCCAGACTGCAATGCTTCTTAGAGTCTGCACTCTATTTTCTCTAAGTCCCTACTTATTTAATTCTGCCTAATAAAACCATTCTCTGCCTTTCACTGAAGTCCTGAAATTCTATATGGAAACCTCATATTAGCCAGCAGAGTAGGTCTAAGGACTTCAGGTGACATTCCCTCAATCGTTGGCCGTCTCCCAGGCCTCCGACCGTGGGAGCCTGGGCTGGAAATCCACACATGTTAAGCCTTAAGAGGCAACCACGTCCTCTGCTCTGGCCAGAAGCTGCTGACGCGAGGTGCGGAGCGCGGCGGCTGCAAAGGCCTCCGGGAATGTAGTCCAGTGCTCCAAGATAACAGCCACCAGAGATGTGTCGTGCAAAAGCTCTTTCCACACGCCTGATCCCGGAACAAAAGACTCAGAAATTACAGGGGACACTAGCTCATGTTCTGTAAGAGGTTCCCCTGAATTCGAATCATACTTATGCTTTTCTTCTGAGATTACCTACTTCTCTTTAGAAGCGCACTCTTGGTCAGTGAAGGTCTCGCGGGAAGTTCTTTAGAATGCAGTGCATTCTGGGAAATGTAGTGCCCTGCGAGCACCGAAAAATGGCAGAACTGACTGGAAGGATGTTGTTCGGGATCTTATGACCGCCCCAGCGGACGTAATGAGTACCTGCCCAGACAGCGCTCTGTTGTCGTCGGAGGACGCTCACGCGTCCGGGTGTAATGTGTGCTTTTGTGTAGGGGTGAGTCTGGCTACTTATTCTAAGCAGTTGGAGTCAGGAGGTAGGCCTGTGCTTTTTGAATGCTAGGCTGCCTGCTGGCCGAGTGTAGGGGACGCATTCGGAACCCGGGATGGGGCTGGAAATGCACGCAGATACCATCTGAAGGCCTTGCGGCTGGGCGGGTGTAGCAGAAGTGAATAGCTGCAGGGAGGACACGCCCGTGTGAAAGTAAGAGCGCGTGCGCGACCATCAGAATGTGGGTGACAGATTCGCGAATTCGGCTCCCTCTCTTGCACTGTGAAGCAGGGGGAAAGTAATGGTATTTGTTTGAAGTCGGTTTACTCGAATATTTGGAAAGATAAAGCTAAATAATAGATGTGATAGCAGTATAAAACAGGGTTTCTGTTTACCAGACAAGGTTTATTACAGAAAATATCCATTGTGACTTTTTTTTTTTTTGGTTCCGGGGATCGAACTGAGAACCTTGCACTTGCAAAGCAGGTGCGGTGCCGCTGAGCTAAATCCCCGGCCTTTGTTTTTTTAAGACAGGGTCTTACTGGGTAGTGCAGACCAGCCTTGCGCTCACTATGTTGCTCAGGCTGGCCTGGAACCTACGACAATCCTTCAGTCTCAGCCTAACATTGCTGAAATCTCAGTGGGTATGTTCTTGCAATGAACAACAGTCTTTGACTCAATAAATTTTGAGACAATCTCTTTTTCTTTTTTTTTTTTTTTTTTTTTTTTGAGACGGTCTCACTGTGTAGTCCACATGTAACCAGGCTAGTTTTGAATTCATGTAATCTTCCTGAGTGCTGGGATTCCAGGCATCTGTCACCAAGTCTGGCCCCATGAAACAGTCTTTTGATTACTGTTAGGGTTTTTTTTCCTGTACTTTTACTTTTATCCTACTGTACCTTTCTGTACACGTAATTTTAAAAAATCCAATTTGATAATGTTTGCCTTTTATTTGGTGCATTAATTTCCAATGACTGCAGTTAAAAAACTACCACAACTTGGTGATTTAAGACAATGGCAACTTATTCTTTCTAGACCATAGGAAAAGTATAAATTCTATTTCACTGGGCCAAACGAAGGTGTTAGCAGGATTGTAATGCCTCTGGAGGTGCAAAGGGAGAATCTACTCCATGCTGCTTCTCCAACTTCTTGTGACTCCTGATTCTCTGGCTTTTGGCTGTGTCAGTCACTTCATTCATTCATTTATTCATTCATGGTATAGGGGATCGAACTGAGGGTCTTCACACTACGCTGTAATCCTAGCACTTGGGAGGCTGAGGCAGGAGGATCACAAGTTAAAGTTTTGTCTGAGCAATGTAGTGACTTAGACTGTCTCAAAATAAAAAATAAAATGTAGCTCAGTTTAAAGGCCCTCTGTTTAATACCTAGTATTGGGGGCTGGGGATTTAGCTCAGTGGTTCTGTCACCTGCCTTGCAAGCGCAAGGTCCCAAGTTCAATCCCCAGTACCAAAAAAAAAAAATTAAATAAAATACCTAGTATCCTCCCATACAACCCCCCCGCCGGAAATCTAAAAGCATAGGCTTAATAAAAATGTATCAATATCAGTTCATTAATTGATTTGTTAATTTTGATAAGCATTCTATCATAATAATAGGGTAAACTAGGTATGGGATATACTATAACACTTTTGGGGTGATGTGCAGAGTTCTTTATAGATTAGGCATGGCATAATTACTGTCCCTATAGGAATAGAGGGTGTTGAATGAGGTGTGGTTTTATGGGATGAGGTTAGGGTTGGGGAAGAGATTAATATGGGATGGGGTATGAGGTAGGGGAAGTGAAAGTAATAGTGATTAACCATGAGTCACACTCTAGCCTTCGGCTAGAATTTTATTTTTTATTTTGGTTTTTGTGGCATTGAGGTTGGAACCCAAGGCTTTGACTATGCAAGGCAAGTGCTCTACCACTTGGGTAGAATTCTAGAGCTGGAGGAGAACCCACATGAAGAAGGAGAGACACTTGAGAGAGTCTCCAGGAATAGAATTCCCTTGTGGTGGGTCTTTGGGGAGGGAGGTGGAGAAAATTACTCTGGAAAGTAGGTCTCTTGACTTTCATTTTTATACAGTGGCAGAGGGCATGGACAGCAGGTCTTAGTTAATGTAGAGACAGAACTAATTTCTCCTAATTCCATTTTTCTTCTCCAATTCTGTATTTTTCTAGGAGCAACTTGAGCAGGGAAGCATGGCTACTGTGGATCAAAAAACTATGTTCAAGGTGAGGTGAAATTTCTTACTTCTAGTAACCACTTTGTTTTTTCTGAAATGTGCTTTCTACTTTATAACAGTAACTATCTCAGTGGCAGAGAAAGTGACTAAGTCAGATTTAGAGTTTTGCTGATTCCTGAGATGTCCTCAAGCCACCTTTACTATTGCTCTGATGTAAAGTACAATAGTACCTCAGTTCCTGAACTTAATTCGTTCCATCATTCCAGGATGGCCACATTCACGTTCATGTGGGTAAGATGGCCACAATGGTGTTTGTCAACCAATGCAGAGTTTGAGTACAGAAGCAAATTTCCGCCAAACGCTTCTTTTTCCAAACTGAATTGTTCTTGAACAGAAGCATTTGTGAACCAAGGTATTACTGTACTTGGCTTTTAATGCTAACCTTCTTAGCATCCAAACTCTCTAAGGCACCAAGTTTTCAGGTTCTTCCTTTCTGGCTAAATTTCACCTCATTCAGCTCTGGATTTTGCTCCCGATTCTCATTATGGATCTTGCTAAAAGCAGTAAGTAGTACACCCATGCTATACCCTGAATGTTGAGCTGCCTCGAAATTTCTTCTGTCAGATTAATTAGTCTCCCATGCTTAACCATTTAACAGTTTATCCTGAGCATCACTTGGGCAGCAAGTTTTGTTTATGTACTATCCCAAGTGTCTCTAGGGCAGATATCATTTCAACCAGTCAATTCTTGTATTGAATGAATTTGATAAAATTGTCATTTTATATTTCTTATTATATTATCTTATACAAATTAATAAAAAAATATTAAAGTTTTGGTCATTCTGTATTTAAATAATTGAACTGGTAAGTGGTTAAATTCAGTCTTTGGCAAAGTCTCAGGACATGAATAAAATGCAGACAAATTGTGCCAGAGCATACTACATGGTCTCAAATACAAATGCCAATGCCAGTATTCCCAGCTGAAACCTCCTGAGCCTGATCATTACTGTCAGCATTTCTATTAGCATTCTAGTCTTCTGAATTCTAATCAGATTCTCTCATCAAGTTTAGCTTACAGCATGTTAGAGCTTCTCTGTCTGGCATCTCCAGATCTTTCCAAACTCTTCCCACAAACCAGTTCCAAAGGCTTTTGAACCACATGGCCAGGTATATTCTTGGCTGTGGCCCCACTTTTGGTACCAACATCTGTCTTAGTCACTTGGCCTCATTGGTGGGACAAAATACTGGACACCTGCAACTTTCAGGAGGGGAGGTTTATTTTGATTCATGGTCACAATTTGTGGTCGTAGGCTATCTTCAAGGCAGAAATGGCATAGTATGAGGAGGAAAGCTGCTTACATCATGGTGGCCAGGGAGGAGAGAGAGAAGGCAGGATCTGAGGAAGGAAATATAACCTTCCAGGTCACATTCTCCATGAGCACCTCCTACCAGGACTCACCTCCTAACACCAAGTCAGTTATAGTGTCCCCATGATCCAGTCACCTTCCAAACACATGAGGCTTTTGAGGAACATTTCAGATCAAACAATAATAGTAACTAAGTCCCATCTGAGATTTACCAACATGATTTTTTATTTCACAAATTTGCTTGGATTACGAAAGGTAATATGCCTCTTTTTTTTTTGATTCAAGCATCATGTAGGCCATGTGGGACTCTCAATGTCTGTGTGTACTTGAGAAATTTACTTAACTTCTCTCAATTTCCTTTTCCATAAAACAGATGGATTAATGGCACTCACCTATAGGTTTGCTATAATGACCAAACTGATGTAAGACCTTTTGAAAAAGTTGGCACATAAAGTACACTCAATTTATATAAGCT